AACTGGATACCTATAGCAGTCGCTTTGTAAAAAAGACAGGTTTTTATTAATATATTTTGCATATTAGTATGGCTATTCATCTACAGCAAATGGACCACGTCGGCCACGTGTCAGATACAAGCTAAAAGAAAAGAAAATTAGCATACTAAGTTTATTGCTTAATTGATCTAAATCGACTCGAGATGATTCAGTAAAATAATCTTCGCTTTACTTTAACGACTTTACTCAAAACATTTAATTTTTGCTTCTTTACAGACGGGTGGATAAAGCTTAATACAGATTTGGTGTGTTTTGGAGCCAGAGACAACCGGTTTGGCAAGTTCCTTGTTCCTTCCAACGGCAAACTAGCATCAGTCAAACTGGTACACGTGTATGGTTATGTGACGTGTGATAATGGCAAAGCTTACCATTGGTCTTATTGGGGATGCAACCAACACTCTAGAGTGAAAAACCATGTAGACGCTGTAATAACAACATCAAGCGGTAGCATTCTTTTGCCTTCGAGCCAGTTCATAACTGATGTACTAAAGTGGTCTTTGATTCCTGGTTACAACTCACTTTCTCCAGAGCTGGTTCTGTCTGCTTTCTCCAATCCTCCATCCGTGACTCGAGGACAGGAGCTTCGTTTGTGGTACGGCGAAGATTTGGTGAATAGCCATGAAAGCGACAATGGAGGAACATCGTGCTGTGATGTTTATGCTCGCCTGATATAAACGACGGGCATTTTAGCGATTTTTCTTACCAATGCAGAATAGCGTGATTGTAATGATGCTTATTAAATAAACTTAAGCTCATCGAGGGACTTTTAAAATAAATTTAATGGATTAAGGTTCTGTTATTCCTCGCTTATGAATGCGAACGCGAACTTAAAGCGAAGTCAGTAAAATAAATTTGAAACCTTACTTTTCATCTTCGACGCTTTTGTTTTTGGATATATCCCTGCATTCAGGTCAACGTCCCAATCAACACAGTGGGTGGGGATGGGGATGGGAGAGAAAGGAGAGAAGCCGGAAAAGTGAAAGGAGCGCCTCTCTCCCCAGTCGCCCTACCATTTCCCTTTCCTCCCTATCCTTTAACCCTTTCGACGCCTGCTACGCAAGCTACATTATTGCTGCGAACATAGCCAGGAGCTATCCTATTTAAGCTCAGATACCGCTTTCATTTTCATCGAGTGTTAGCGGAACATTTGCCCCACTTTTATGCCGTTCAAAAATTCAGCTGATCTTTGTAACGCTTGGTCAATTACGTACTTTACTAGTAGTAATCTCAGATTAGGAAGTGCGTTCGAGCTTTTTTAGGTTTACTGTCAAATGTGACATTAAGGCCATTTTTACGAGGAAAAATAAGACGCGAACTGTGCCATTTACACGAGCATGTCTTACCTAAGACGAAAACAGCTCGTATAAATGGTTTGCGTCTTATTTCTATTCTTGACTCGTTTTCGTGTGAATATTGCCCGTAGCAAAGGCAATCCAACATGGCGCGCAGAAAATTAACGCATGCGTACTATCCGTTCGCGTCTTAAGTAAGACGCGAAAGTCATTTATAGAGTCTTTTCACATGACGTCACGGCGGCCATTTTGGTGTCCCAAAACAATGAAACGGCGGCCATGTTGGTGTCCCAAACCAATCCTCTGGGAGTTGAACTCTTTTCTTATGCAAACGCTTTCTTTTGTTCCAAAACATTTGCATAGATGCTGGGCACGTGAGCGAAAACACTCTATACGAAGTTTTTCTCGTCTTAGCTAAGACGCGTCTTATCTAAGAACAAGTGTAAGGGCTGTTGTAAAATAAGACGCGTCTAAGCTAAGTCGCGTCTTATTTTAGACGAAATGTGCCGTTTATACGAAAAGTTCGCGTCTTACGTAAGAAACGTCTTATTTTTGCTCGTATAAATGGCCCTTTTATTTCCTAATAAATTGATGCTGCAAAACGCTTCCTATACGTTAAAAAAAAACGAAACAAAACAAAACGACTACGAAAAAAAGAAAAAAGTCTCACCCGTCGGGAGTCGAACCCGAGACCTTCCACGTGTAAGGGCAACGTGTTATCCATTGCCCCACGCAACCATTGCTAGTATCATTTTTCAAATTAATAACATGCTCGGTAGACGCGCTATAATCGCGCCTTAAAGAAGAGACTGCGTTCTCCTTCGTCGAACGCAAAAACATGTAATAAAGTCTAAGCCAATAACAATAATCCTCCTTTTGAAGGGTGGGGCTGGGTGATTAAGAAAAAGTATTAAGAAACAACACCTGAAATGAATACTCTCCCATCAAGCTAAAAGTCTTATGTTTACAGCACGATACTCTTTGGTAGCAGACAACTTACGATTTCTAGAGTCAAAATGGAGCTTTAGCATCGACGACGGCGACGGGGACGGCAACGAAAACGTCACTTTCAAAATGAATTCGCGCTTCGGCAAAGTCATGAAGTGAAGCAAGGAAATGTTCAAAAAGGCGTGATGAACGCGCAAAGTTGTCGTTTTGCTTAACAAACCTATTGCTTTTTGACGATCTCGTTCCCGTCGTCGTCGTCGTTGCTAAAGCTCCCTAGTTAAATGGGAAAGACCTAAAAGAAAAATCTGACCGACTTCTGTATTCGCCATAAGTTTATCACGTTTTCTTCTATCGGGCCCGGAATGGAACAGTTATGTCTAAACAAGTAATGGCTCTAGGTGTGGATTTTTTGAAAAACACACCCTTAAAACTACTTTTTACCGTTTTTTCTTCGTCAGTCAAACAAACGGAATTTCAATATCCTTTTTAACATTGGAAAAACTCCATTCGCTGCCTTTAGGTGAACTTGCTAACGTTTCGCGAAGACAAACTCAAGCTACAAGTCTTGGATTCTCCACCCCCACCCTTGCAGAGTCTGCTTAATACCTTGCTGCAGGTCCGTACGTACGCGTGGACGAACGCTGACGTCATANAAACAACACCTGAAATGAATACTCTCCCATCAAGCTAAAAGTCTTATGTTTACAGCACGATACTCTTTGGTAGCAGACAACTTACGATTTCTAGAGTCAAAATGGAGCTTTAGCATCGACGACGGCGACGGCAACGAAAACGTCACTTTCAAAATGAATTCGCGCTTCGGCAAAGTCATGAAGTGACGCAAGGAAATGTTCAAAAAGGCGTGATGAACGTGCAAAGTTGTCGTTTTGCTTAACAAACCTATTGCTTTTTGACGATCTCGTTGCCGTCGCCGTCGCCGTGGGAAAGACCTAAAAGAAAAAATCTGACCGACTTTTGTATTCGCCATAAGTTTATAACGTTTTCCTCTATCGGGCCCGGAATGGAACAGTTCTGTCTAAACAAGTAATGGCTCTTGGTGTGGACTTTTTGAAAAGCACACCCTTAAAACTACTCTTCACCGTATTTTCTTCGTCAGTCAAACAAACGGAATTTCAATATATTTTAACATTGGAAAAACTCCATTCGCTGCCTTTAGGTGAACTTGCTAACATTTCGCCAAGACAAACTCAAGCTACAAGTCTTGGATTCCCCACCCCCACCCCTGCAGAGTCTACTTAATACCTTCCTGCCGGTCCGTACGTACGCGTGGACGAACGCTGACGTGATAACCAAATTTTCTCGCATGGATAGGTTTCCCATTTTTTCTTAGCTACGTAGCCTGTGCAAAGACGCCCCCCTCCCCTCAGAAAAAATCGGGGAGAGAAACTCGTCCCTCGCGCCTTTGTTTTTTTCTTTAGGAGGGGAGGGTTCGTCTGTACACAAGCTATTACCTATAGCACTCCGCTATTAATCTCATGGAATAGCCGTTAATGTAGATGGAAAGTTCTATGAAGTTCTGTGAAGGAGTGGATGTCTCTCTAGATCTGACTTATTCAGCTTGGAAACAAATATACTTTTGAAGATGACGTGAACTGGGGAAATACATAACTAAATGAACATTTGATCGTCCCAGTAGTGGAGTAATCCAAGCAATTGCAAATTAACCCGAAAAAAATATATATATCACAGGGCTTCAACGGGATTCGAACCCATGGCCTCTGCGTTAGCGCTACTGTGCTCTACCAGAAATCTATGAAATCAAATATTTGATATTAACAATCGCCGATAATCAATATTGCCAGTGACAGATTACTTGTTCAAAATGTTGATAGAGAGCTATACGAACAATTTAATCGACAGCCATAATGACACGAATTTAATATGTTTGTCTTTGATATCTGCTGTAAACTTATGGTAGACCTTATTCACGATACCCTCATCTTTGCACGCGCATCTGTGTTTATTATAGACAGCAGAAAATGACGAACTTTTCATCTTGAAGACGATAATGAGTAAATTATGGGAGTGATCATTGTTACTCTTTTGGCGCATGCGCAGCAGCGAGCGTGAATGTTTTCATAGAGTAAAGCGGGGAACAATGTATGACGTCACTGTCCTTCAGGTATCACCCTCAAAAGAATCACACACGAGGACACTGAACTAGCTTGAAAAAAATATTTGGACGGAGGCCGATGATCTCTTTCGTCTTATTCGCTTGCGGCATGGCAAAAAAACAAGAGAGAATTGAGCCCCAGTGCATTGACTGAATGTGTTAGTAATAAACATCATAACAATGTGAAAGGCAACTCTAGGGCAATATTTTCTTCTATTGTTTTGTCGTTGTCGAGGTCATACTACGGACGCTT